GTTAGTGAGAGACAATTGGAAAATCATAGGATTCTATAATTCAATAAAAACAATTCAAATGAGGACAGTTTTACATTGTAAAGAAGGGAGAGGTAGGGTTTTGTTCTCTTTTTTTGGAGTAAATCTTTTCCACCAAATAAAGTTAAACAAACGAAAAGAGAATTACAGTTCGCTGGTTATTCAGATCTTTTACGTACACCATGCAGGGTTAGTACTCAAAGGGTAAAAACTTCGATGAGAATTTGTAACGGAGGCCACCAGGAAATTGAGTAATTTTAATTTTCAGTAGACAAAAACATTGTACCAGAATGATTTAAAGAATATTGCATTCTTTTTTGCATTTTTCAAGGGCTAAAGATGTAATTAGTCATATCTGTAACAACACTATAGAAAATTTCTTATGGAGTGCCCGAGAAAATGAATGTTACATTTCACAAACTTACATCTTACACATGAAATTTTCAGAATTTTACGGGCTCCCGTAAGAAATTTTCTTTGGTGTTACTACAGATGACTAACTACATCTTTAGCCCCTGAAAAATCAAGGGCACCCAACGACAATTTTCGGAAAATATCTGTTCGGAGGACGATTTGAGATCTAGAATTTTCGGAACATTTGTTGTAAAATTTCTTGCTTGCGTGCCTCTCCTAGGATTTTCGAACATCTAAAATATGGTATAATTGCCTATTTTTAACGGATTTTTACCCTAAAAAGATCACCTAGAATTTTCTGGAGCCTTTTTTCTAGCTGGTATTTTCGCAAAGGTAAGTTTTGATCCCTATAATTTTCGGATCACTAGACTTTCAGCTAGGAAATCCGAACAGATGAAAAAATTTTAGGGGATAAAAATATGCCTATATCTACCGTTTAAAAACTAAAATACGTTTAACAATGCTATGTTTAAGTGGTTTTGAACTATATTCTCGTTGGGTGCCCCTGAAAAATGAAAAAAAAGGATGCAATATGCTTTTAAGCTTTTAAAATTATTCTGGTAGAAGGTTTTTGTCCACTCAAAATTAAAATTACTCAATTTCCTGGTGGATTCCGTCTTAATGATTGAAATGAGCCAGATAAACGTTGTCTGTCGTATATTAAGCTCAGTACCGCTGCGAAGCGGTTATACTGGTTTGCCTACGGTAGGCACCAGTTTAGTTTTTGCATTTGCGTCATTGATTTCCTGTGTTGAAAAGTGACAAGGGTGCCTAGTAATTATTCAAAAGGTGTTGCGTGCTTCGTTCGTGCAGGCAAAAGACCATTTTTTTTAAAGACAACAATCGTGACCCGTAGTTATTAAAGGAAAGGACCAGTCAAAACGACCCACAGTCACTGATCGACACGAAGATCCAGAACACCCCAAAACAAGTGGCGCACGGGAAACCCTCATTTACTTGGTGCCCGGGCTTAGTGCAGTTCCCTCGGAAGCGCAATCGGGAAAATAAGCTCATCACAACGCTCATTCCTGTCCCTAAAGTTGAAAATTTACAGCGCTAAACAACCCGTTTTTTTGCGACAAGGGGAAGTGTAAGTTTCTCCTTCATTGTCTTCTATGATAGAGAAAAGATGAAACGAAAAGCACTCTTGAATTTTTCTGACATGAAAGTAAGGTTTCCGTGTTACTGAACTAACTAAAGTTTCCTCATATTCTAACTCTTATAAGCATCCTCGTTAGTGGGGAAATCTGGGCCCAGTTGTTCGAAGGCCGATTAGCGCTTAACCCAGGGTTAAATGCAACGCGGCTTTCTTTTTCTTTGCTCAAAAGCATTTTCTCGGATAATTTTCTCTGTTATTCTTAAGAGTATCCAATCATAAACCTGTTGACAGAAAGGATAAAACTGAATTTACTTTTTACGCTTTCAAATCTGAATTCAAATTTCGCACTAACCCTGGGTTATCTTAACCCAGCTTTGAACAACCCGGCCCTGTGTTGTTTTACAGGTGTTGGTGACAGTGTCTGCCTCTTATTGGTCCCCACTCTCCTCTCCGTAGTGGCGCATAGGGCCGACATAGACGACGAGCGGAGGGTTGGAGAGTCAGTGTTGGTCTTATGTTTCCTCTTACTGTCACTGAGGAAATCACAGAATACAAGTTGCTCTCCTTTGTTTTGGTATTTTATTTACAGATTTTTATCTTACAAAAATAACTCCACTAAATTTTTCCAGTCCACAGTAGTAGTCTTCGACTACGAACATTTTTGAAATTTCCGTCTTCAGTTATCGCGGTTTTAAATAACTATTCGTTCAGTAAATTCAATTCTATTTTCATATATCAGGCATTTAAAAGAAAGTTCGTAAACTTGTTTCCCCGTTTACCAATACTGCAACTTTTAGGGGACTTTGATACGTTTTCCTTCCAGAAGAAAGTAGAGATAGAACCATTTAGAATCACGTTCACATCAAACGTCTACCCAGGGCACCCAGCTAGCCGGGTATCAAACGTCATACCGTAAAATTCCGAAAATAAGACCCTCCATGAATAAGCCCCTCCAAATATAAGCCCCTCAAAATCGTAACGCAAAAAACCCTCCGTCAAATCGCCCCTCCGAATATAAGCCCCCCGGGGGGCTTGTACATAAAATTTGCTCTCGAACATGTCGAATACAAAGTAAAACAAAGCAAAAATGGTAAATTTCCTTCCCACTACAAGCTAGACCAATCGATTTTGAAACGCAAATTTCCCTCCGTACATAAGCCCCTCAAACAGGGCCTTTGAAAAATATAAGCCCCGGGGCTTATTTTCGGAATTTTACGGTATTCAAGTTGAAAATTTCTCACAATAGGATATGAGCTGATAAAAACTGTCCAAAAGAATTCTGATGGTTGAAACTGGCGTGAAACTGCTCATTTTTGTATGTAAATATAATGAACAGTAAATTCCAAGTAAAGGGAAAAATTGATCACCTGGTAAAAATTGCCGTATGTTGTACACGTGACCCTAAATATTAATCAGCAATATAAAAGGCAGGGTTGGAGGCAAAGATGCAAACCTGGCTGATGAAGCTGGGTTACATTCCACTTGCCCTTAGTATCTCGTAATTCCGTTTCCCTGGTAACTACCAGATGAACCTATCAAACCTCAAAGCCAGAACATGTAATAGCGCAAAGCATGGCAAAACGCCAGCACTGTTTTGGTTCCTTATCAGATTGGGTGAGAGAAAAGCGCAAGATCTTTCAACCAATCACAGAGCGAAGGGAATCAAGATAAAAAGAGTTTGCATTCGTAATCAGGAAAATGCCTGCGACAATCTATTTCAATTATGCTGTGCAAACAGTTTCAAATCAAGAGTCACTCTTTGGATAAATCCGTTCACATTAAAAATCTACACCATCAACTGGATTAATGCGGACCATTTTTGCGTATCTGTCGAAAATGAAATATACGATTTTCCCTTCTAGTATTTCTTCTTCAAGTCTGTTTCTCAGTAAGGAGGGGAAAGAGAGGCAAGCGGCAGTAGATTTTGTTTCATGAAATTTTCAACTTCTTTTTTGCGACGTATGTGCTTTACGTCATTTTTGTTCCACTTTGCAATAATTTACTTCAATTAATACACATCTCGGTTAACACAAAATACATCTCTGACGATAAAAGTATTTTCTCTCAGGAGCAGGTTAAAACATAGCATCTCTAAATAATTAAGAAAATTTCTCCCTACACTCGTCACCAACTTGGTTACTTGTCTAGGATACTATTTTCTGCAACAGTACTTGACAAAATGAGGTTTCCTGTATCGTTTACTTTAATCCAGGTCACTTCAAAGAATGAAACCCGATTTTTCCCTTCGAAAGGGGGAGGGGGGTGGGGGAGAGGGACGCGGGGATCGAAAACCTCCTTTTTATCAATCAAACATTTAAATAGCTACAGGTAACGGCAAACAGCAATGTGCATGCATGCCCGTTTTTTGTCTCAAACCAAATCCAATAAAAAAGGGTGGGGAAATCACCCATTTTGATCGGCAATTATAAAGGCAAAATTTCACATTTATGTGGAAAATTTTGGTTT